ACTGATAAATGCAAGTGTTGAGTAGTTAAAATTATAAATTTTCTGAGTGATACAGTACAAAACAGTGCAAACAACATGAAGAAAAAATAAAAACCAGGAAAAAAAACTTCAGCAAAGTCTGTACAGGTAAAGTGAAAAACAAAATGAAGAAAAAATAGATACCAGAAAAAAACACTTCAGTAAAGTCTTTACAAGCAAAGTGATTAAGGTAGAATTTCGACACTCATACGTACACCATTATATACACATTACATACATTACATATTACATATACGCACACAGACACACACATTTATATAAATATAGACACATATTCATTCAGAATGCAACATTGTTCTCCTATCTGCTATATGTTGCTAAAATTGTATTTTTTAACATTTTTTAAAATGTGCTAAGTGAAGGATTCCTTTTTGTGTCTATTGGTAGTTTATTCCATTGGGTTATTGCCTCCTTAGTGAGTGAGTTGTGTCCATACATATTACTTGTTGTTAATTTAAGTGTCCTTGAATTTAATGTAATATTTGTCAGGTAAGGTAGGGGATTATTTTTAAGTGGTTTGTTTAGATGGTGGATGTATTTGTATATAAATATAAGTGTGTGGTATTTAATTAGGTATTCGATTGGAGGTACTTTTAGTTCCTCTTTAGTTCTAGTAGCTGCTCCTGTCTGTCTCTGTGATGTAGCGTTTTTGTGGGAATAACCTGTTATAATGCGTAGAGCATAATTCTGTAGTGTGTTTAGTCTATCTAAAGCTGATTTGGGGAGATTTATAAGCAGAGTAGATCCATATATGAGTGCCACAGGCAGAGTAAAGAGTATATTTGCAGCTTTGTGTTTGTGTGTAGTTGACCCCGTATCTGTCTGAGGAAGCTAATACTTGTACTCATCTTGTCTACTATGTAGTCAGTATGGTCATTCCACGTTAAATGCTGATCTATATACATACCTAAAAATTTGACTGTTCTCGATTGTGGTATCGAGTTGTTACTTATTTCCAACTCAATTTTGTTAGTATCCACAATTTTATTACTGTTGGGGCAAAATAGCATGAATTCTGGGTTCATTTGTAAATTATGGTAATCGAATACCTGTTTAATTTTTTCCACATTTATTTGCAGTGTATTAACAGCTTCATTTGGATCTGAATTTGTGGCATATATACATGTATCGTCAGCATATGGGGTCAGTTCACATTTTTCGAGTATGTTTGGTATATTGTTGATGTATATGCAGAATAGTAACCGTCCCAGTAATGTCCCCTGCGGGACTCCTCTAACTCCCCCTATTCTGATGTGGTGTTGTTAATTTTCACTCTCTGTTTTCTGTCTGTTAAGTATTTATCAATCAGTGTTGTAGAGTATGTGTCAAATCCTATTTGTTTTAGTTTTTGAAGCAATGTTTTGTGGGATATGCTGTCAAAAGCTTTGCTTAAGTCAAGAAATGCGGTCGCTACAAATTTGTTATTGTCCAAATTGTGCCTCCAATATTCTGTAGTCGTGATTAGTGCGTCAGTGGTACTGTGATTTTTCCGAAAACCAAATTGCTTTTTGTAGGACCTATAGTAGGGAGTTTCTTTCTAGGTAATCGCAGATTTGAGTGTATAATACTTTTTCTAGTAACTTTCCAAAACAATAAAATATTAAGATAGGTCTGTAGTTCTCTGGCTTATCTCTATCTCTTTTTTTATGTACGGGTGTGACGTTAGCAGTTTTGCAAATTTCAGGAAATTCACTCCTCATACCAATCTCAAAAACTTTCATTTTATAATATATTTATATTACTTAAGAATTATATAACTCAATATATAACTATAGGCGTAACTAAGTTTGCTAGTGTAGACAGGGCTTAACATTGCGTACGCAGTTTTTCTATCGACGTGTGCTACTGTAGTATTTTTGGGAGTATATCCAATACTAAACTCAGGCAACAAACTGCTACTGGCCGAAAAACTACTACTGCAAGAAAACAAACTGTACAACAAAAACCGCGTATATATACATTATAATTAAGGGGCGTAATCTAAAGACGCGTCTGTCCTTACACCAACCACTTTATTGTAGCAGAAATAGATAAATCCATGGGGGAGAGATCTCTGTAGAGAGTTCTAGGCACGGGAAACCGACCGCTCGTGCAGCTAGTTGTGTTGTATCACGCACGTCTGAACCGCCATGTCACGTATAGTCGTGACGCTTAGGCGTGCCGTTCGAACACGCGGATTTCACACAAGCGTGCGGCGTATCGAAACGCATTTTCCACTTATTCGAACGCGCCGAACAACGCAATCTGCTGTGACATTGTGCATGCAGTACTAGGGAGTAACACACACCCTGCTATGCCACGTAATTCATTCGGCTAGGACGGACAACAACACGTTCTGCTATGACATAAAAACGTTCATTTTCCTGTAAAGAGTTCAGAACTGTGGCAAATATTTCAGTTAAGGGAGGTGCGTATAGGGATAGCAACGTTCTGCGAACTGCTGGGCTCAATATAAGCTTTGATCGATTTCTCGAACATG